AAAATATTTGCACATTGTATGACTGAGGGAGGACAAATTTCTAGAACATAAAAAGAGCTCTCAAAAGTCAATGATAAGAAAAACAATTGAATAAGAAACAATGGGCAGTACATTGAAACAGACTTGCCACCAGAGAAGATATACAGATAGCAAATAAACACATGAAACAATGCTCAATTTCTTTAGTCATTAGAAAAATGTAAGTTAAAATAGTAATACGACATGCCCTGATAGAACTATAAGAAGGGCTAAAAACAACAAGGACAATGATGACAACAAACTGGCCACATCAGGTGTCAGTGAGAACGTTTAGCAATTGGAACTCTAATGCATTGCTTGTGTGACTCCTAAATGGACAGCCCTTCTTCTGCTGGAAGACAGTTTGGCAGTTTGTTTTAAGGTTAAAGATAAACGTTTTTATATGATCTAGCAATTCCATTCCTAAGTATGTATCTAGAAATGGTAATTTCTTTAGAAATGGAAATTTTATGTTCACATAAAAACCTGTGCGTGGATGTTTGTAGCAGCATTATTCATGATCATCAAAAACTGGAACTAACAGAAATGCCCCTTGATGGATAAATGGATAAACCCAACTGTGGTATATGGAATGCTAGTCAGCTATAAAATTGATACATGCACTTAAATGTATCAGTACAGTTAGTTAAATCTCAAACACCTTATATTAAATGAAAGAAGGCAGTTTCAAAAGATTGTATACTATATGATTCCATTTGTATAACATTTTGGGAAATGTGAAACTGAAGGAACAGAGAACAGATCAGAGGTTGCTAGGGATGAGAAATGGTGAGAAAGTTTAACTACAAAGGGATAGCACGAGGAAATTTTGAAATGTGATAAAATTGTTCTGCATCCTAATTTTGGTAGTGTTTACACAAATCTATGCATGTGAATCTATGCTTGTGATAAAATCCATATGACTGTACACAAAAGAGGTAAATTTTACTTTATATAAAAATTTAAAAAAATTAAATTTCATCTTTTTTACTCTTTTCATGTGGCTACCAGTAAGTTTAAGATTATACATATGGCTTACATTTGTACTGCACAACATAACTTTAGGTAGTAGAAATGGCAGAGGATTAGATGTGGTCTCAGTCTAGAGGTAGGGATCTGATAGAAGGATGTCTTCTAAGGAAAGGAGGGCAGTTGAAATGCCCTAAATTTAAACTTCCACCCCCTTCCATCCTTTCTTCTACAGGTATTTTTGGAGGGCCTGTTTCATGCAGATTATGCCAGCTCTTAGATATGATAATTCTTTCTAGTCTCTTTCCCTTGATATAGCAAAAGAAGTTCTACCTCTCAAGACAAGTACATGTGGTATACAGTGGAATCATGGGTAGTATCTCTGAATTTGTAGGGAAAACAGAATGTATCTTTGAGGAACTTGATAAATTTCTTTGTGATATCCTTGTGATGAATGTTCAGGTTCATAGTAGTATTGGGTAAATATCATTGCTTAAATGATTGCACCGGAGAGGTACTGACTAATTGAAGTGTGGCTGCAGTGGAGGGAGTTTTTAGAAGCATGCTCAGCCAATCTGTGAATACTTGTAACGGGGGGTGCTAGTCCAAAGTTGGAATAGAATCTAAGAATATTATGATAGGCTGTAAATAGAGAGGTAAATTGAACAATATTGAAATGTTAATAGGGGTAAATTTAAAATTCTGTAATTCAGCTGTCCAAATTAAGAATGTGGTTTAGCAGTAGTGTACATATAAAAGCTCTGGGGCTTTTAGTTGATAGGAAGCATAGTGGAGTCAAATTGGTAGGGCTGCCAAAAAGCTGTTTCAGTTTGTAATGGTATTTATTAGTAGAAGTTTATATCTAAAATGAAGGCATGGATTTTTTTTTTAACTTGAGTCTGTGTGGTTTAGAACACATCTGGAACCTTTTGTCTGGTTCTGGATATTATCCTTTGGGACAGCTGTACATAAACTGGTATACATGCAGAGAAGAGAGGAGAAGATGATAAAGGAAATTGAGACTATGTTATACGAGGAATAGTGAAAGAAACTGGGATATTTTGTCTGGTCAAGAAGTGACCCATGGTGTGGTTGAAACAGAGGTCACAAGAATTGCCTGAAAATAATTGAAGGGCTATGATATTAAAGTGAAACCAGAATTGTTCCATAAATTTTTAAGAACCAGTGGATGAAATTTTCAGAGAGTATAAATTTCAGTTAAGGAAGCACTACCAGGAGTTAGAACTAAGTCCTGGAAATGATTCACCTCTCCAAAGTCTTTTGTTAAGACTGTTGCCTCAAACTACCTTTCCACTGAAAATCTTCAGCCTAGCACTTCCACAAGACTCTTGTCTGACTTTTACTTCCCACACTTGGACTCTCAGTAAATAATCCTTTTATGGACCAATTGAAAGGAATAATTCTTTCATCACTGGCAAAACTCCAGTTATTTACCATTTGAATTGTTTTTTTCCAGGCAGTTACTTAAATTTTAAATAGAAAAAATAAAATGGTACTGTTTCACTGGTAAAAGTAAGGAGAGGAGCCTGTGGATAAGCTGTGTTCTTTTTGTAACTGGGGAGCAGGACACAGGGTCCTCTCTGCAGATCAGATGATTGGGCCTTCCTGAGATGGTGCTGGCATCTTCTAAAGACTGTCAGCTGCCAAGGCACAGACATGTAAGTAAAAACTGTCTTGCACATGGAACTTCTGTCACTGATGTATGTGTCATATTATGAGGCATGGTAGATGTGTATTCAAAGAGTGGAACTTGTGTCCCGTGTCCCGTTGGTCCCGCTTTTGTAGCCTGGCAATTTTCAGGGAGTCATGGAAAATAAGACTACCATTTTGTTCTTAGGTAATTGTAACACTGCTATCCATTCTAGGTGTTTTGTTTCTTTCTTACTTTCTCTTTTTTTTTTTTTAAGTCTCACCTTACATCACCGCTGATCCTATTTTTATTTCTTTGTTCTCTTGCCTTCTCTTCCTTTTTATGAAAAGTTGAAGTAAGCAGTATCCAAGTAATCTGTACTCTGTGTTCATATCATCTTCTCCAGGGTAAAATAAAGAGAAATGCAGTGTTATTGCTCCTCTATATGATTTGTGTTGGTCTTTTCCCCACCCTCCCTGCCTTGAGGTCAGATACTATGTTTCCTACTTCCTGTGTAACTCCCCAGGTGTCCAATATGTGCATCTGTGCATGGTGGGTTTTTAATAAACGTTCTTGACTGATTTACTGACTTCTCCATAGCAAGAAAACAATGCCACATTTTAGTCCAAAGAAGCTAGAGAGTTTTGAGGAATAGTATTTCAGGAGTTCTTTGAGATAGAAGGTAAGAGGGAAATTCTGAGATGTAAGTATGAAAAATATGTAGATTTACTTTTTTGTTTTGAAAAATATTCCTATTAATGTGTTTACTGTGTACAATATAGTAATAATCTCTCTTAAAAAGTTGAGGGTGTGGTAATTTGTTATATATAGTTTCTGTTTAAAAATTATTGTACATTCAAATGTTTTTGGCTATTTTAAAGTTTTTAAAAATCAACTAAAAATTTAAAAAAAGGAACATTCCCCAGTATTCTCCTTAAAAAGGACGTATTTACAGAACTTGTTGAAAAACAAACATCTTTGTAAGTATTCATCTTATAAAAATATTCTTTGCTTTTGAAAAGGGCTCATTGCAGAATTAAGTAAATGGAGAACTCCCTAGTTGGATTTTGAAGATGATTGTGTTTATAAAAAATGAATTTACTAAATCAGACAGAGAAAGACAAATGCCAAATGATCTCCCTCATTTGTAGAGTATAACAATGAAGCAAAACTGAAGGAACAAAACAGCAGCAGACTCACAAACTCCAAGAAGGGACTGGCATTTACCAAAGGGGAGGGGTTGGGAGGGCAGGTGGGGAGGGAGGGAGGGAGAAGGGGATTGAGGGGTATTATGATAAGTACATATGGTGTGGGGGGGATTATGGGGAAGACAGTGTAGCACAGAGGAGACAAGTAGTGACTCTGTGGCATCTTACTACACTGATGGACAGTGACTGCAGTGGGCTATGGAGGGGGACTCAATAATATGGGTGAATGTAGTAACCACATTGTTTTTCATGTGAAACCTTCATAAGAGTGTATATCAATGATACCTTAATAAAAAAAATACATTTACTTAGAACAAAAAGAGTAAACATTTTCTAATATATTTGTGTTTCAGTTCAGATTAAACTGGGTCAAATTTTTACATCTAAACTGATAAAAACAACAGCCTTATTGAGATATAATTCATATACTGTGCAGTTCAGTCTTTGAAGTACATAACACAGTAGGTTTTTTTTTCAATTTTAATTTAATTTAATTTAATTTAATTTTTTATTATTTTATTATTTTTATTTTGGTCTCATTAATCAATTCAAGTAAACAATTACTTGAACAACAACATGGTTACTAGACTTCCCCTATTATCAAGTCCCCACCACATACCCCATTACAGTCACTGTCCATCAGCATAGTAAGATGCTATAGAATCATTACTTGTCTTCTCTGTATATACTGCCTTTCCCATGTTCCCCACCCCCTACATTATGTCTGCTAATAGTAATGCCTCCTTTTCCCCCTTATCCCTCCCTTCCCACCCATCCTCCCCAGTCCCTTTTCCTTTGGTAACTGTTAGTCCATTCTTGGGTTCTGTGAGTCTGCTGCTGTTTTGCTCCTTCAGTTTTTGCTTTGTTCTTATACTCCACAGATGAGTGAAATCATTTGATACTTGTCTTTCTCCGCCTGGCTTGTTTCACTGAGCATAATACCCTCTAGCTCCATCCATGTTGTTGCAAATGGTAGGATTTGTTTTCTTCTTATGGCTGAATAATATTCCATTGTATATATGTACCACATCTTCTTTATCCATTCATCTGCTGGTGGACACTTAGGTTGCTTCCATTTCTTGGTTATTGTAAATAGTGCTATGATAAACATAGGGGTGCATATGTCTTTTTCAAACTGGGCTCCTGCATTCTTAAAAAATATGGAACACTTCATGAATTGCATGTCATCACCTGCCATGCTAATCTTCTCTGTATCATTCCAATTTTAGTAAATGTGCTGCCGAAGCGGGTACCACAGTGGTTTTTAATACATTCACAAAGTTGCACAACCATCAACACTAACCCTAGAACATTTTCATCACAACAAAAGTTACTCTGTACTTGTTAGCAGTCACTTCCCATTCCCCATTCCCCTGTTCCCTGGCCCCTGGCAGCCATTAATCTACTTTCCATCTCTATGAATTTGTATATTCTGGACATTTCATAGAAATGGAATTATACAATAATTATACAATATATGTCCTTTTGTATCTGGCTATTTTCATTTAGCATAGGTCTTCAAGTTTCATCCACGTTGTGGCATGTGTCAGTGCCACTTCCTTTTTTTAGAGCTGAATAATATTCCATTGTATGTATATACCACATTTATTTATCCATTCATCAGTTGATGGACATTGGGTTGTTTCTACTTTTTGGCTATTGTGAATAATACTGTTACAAACTTTCATGTGCAAGTTTTGTGTAGACATATGTTTTCATTTTTCTTGGGTCTATTCTTAGGAGTAGAATTGATAGGTCATAAGATAACTCTATTTTTAACATTTTGAGGAATTGCCAAAATGTTTTCCAAAGTTATGGCACCATTTTGTATTCCCAGCAGCGGTGTTCCAAGGTTCCAGTTTCTCCACATCCTTACCAACATTTGTCATTATTTGTCTTTTTGGTTGTAGCCATTGTAGTGGGTATGAAGTAATATGTCATTGTGGTTTTGATTTTCATCTCCTTAATGACCAGTGACATTGAGCATCTTTTCATATGCATATTGGCGAATTCTGTATCTTCTTTGGAGACATGTCTATTCAAATCCTTTGTCCATTTTAAAGTTGGGCTATTTGTCTTTTTATTGTTGAAATATAAGAATTCTTTTTATTTTCTGGATATAAGTTCTTTATCAGATATATGATTTGCTAAATCCCTTATTTTCTCCCATTCTGTGGGTTATCTTTTCACTTTCTAGATACTGCCCTTTGAAGGACAAAAGTGAAAAATTTTTATGAAGCCCAGTTTACCTAGTTTTTCTTTTGTTGCTTGTGTTTTTGATTTCATATCTAAAAAAACATTGCCTAGTTATGAAGATTTACTCTTATGTTTTCCTCATAGAGTTATAGCTTTTGCTCTTACACCTAGGTATTTGATCCAATTTGAGTTGATTTTTGTATATGGTATGAGTTAGGGACTCAACTTCATTAATTGTATGTCGTTTATCTAATTTTTCCAGCACCATTTGTTGAAAAGACTCTGTCTTAGTCCATTTCAGCTGCTATAACAAATTACCATACACTGGGTGGCTTAAACTGCACGTGTTTATTTCTCACAGTTGTGGAGGCTGATGTCAGATATCAAGGTGCCTACAGATTCAGTGTGAGGGTTTGATTCCTGGTTCAGAGACAGACTGTTTTTTGCTGTAACCTCACATGGCTGTGGGGGAAAGGGAGCTCTATGGTTCCTTTTATAAGGGCACTAATCTCATTTATGAAGGCTCTGTCCTTATGACCTAATCACCTACCAAAAGCCCTACCTCCAAATGCTGTCACATTGGGGATTAGGTTTCAACATATGAATTTTAAGGGGACATAAGCAGTCTATAGCAATCTCTGTTATTTAAAAATTAAAAAATTTGTGGTAAAACATATGCAACATAAAATTTCATCGTAACTTTTAAGTGTACATTTCTGTAGTGTAAAGTGCATTCACATTGTTGTGCAGCCAATCTCCATAACTCTTTTCATCTTGTAAAACTGAAACTCCATATCCTTTAAACAACAACTCCCCATTCTCTTCTCCCCCTAGCCCCTGCCAATCATCATTCTTCTTCCTGTCTGTATAAGTTTGACTACTTTGTTGACTACTCTACTACCTCAAATAAGTGGGCTCATATAGTATTTGCCTTTTTGTGACTGGCTTATTTCACTTACCGTAATGCCCTCAAGTTTTATCCGTATTATAGCATGTGTTAGAATGTCCTTTTTTAAGGTTGAATTATAATCCCATTGTATGTGTATGCCACATTTTGGTTATCCAGTTGTCTGTAGATGGACACTTGGGTTGTTTCCATTAGTCTGTTGTAAATAATGCTGCTGTGAACATAGTGTACAAATATCCTTTGAAACACTGATTTCACTTCCACCCAGAATGGAATTGCTGGATCATATGGTAATTCTATTTAAACAATTTCAGCTACCACCATTGTTTCCATAGCAGCTCTACCACTTTACTTTCCCACCAGTGGTACACAGGAGTTCCAATTTCTCCACAACCTTGCCAATACTCTGTTTCTCTTTCTCTTTTTCATTGTAGGCATCTTAACGGGTGTGTAGTGAAAAGACTTCTTTTGCTCCATTGACTTGTCTCGGCACCCTTGTCAGAAATCAGTTGACTATAAATGTGAATGTTTATTTCCAGACTTTGAATTATATGACATTGATCTGTATGTCTATCCTTTGTGGCAATCCCACACTGTCTTAGTTACTGTGGCTTTGTAGTAAGTTTTGAAATTGGGAAGTGTGAGTCCCCTCTAACTTCATTCTTTCAAGCTTGCTTTTTGGCCATGTTGGATCCCTCGCATTTCCATATGATTTTTAGGATTGGCTTGTCAATTTCTGCAAAAACAGCCAGCAGAGCTTTTGATAGGAATTGCATGAAATCTATAGATTGATTTAGGTAATATTACCATCTTGACAATATTAAATCTTCTGATCCATGAACATGAATGTCTTCCAATTTATGTAGGCTTTCTTTAATGTCTTTCAACAATGTTTTGTAATTTTCAGGGTACAAGTCTTAACACTTTTTTCATTAAATTTATTCCTAAATATTTAATTCTTTTTGATACTATTGTAAATGGGATTGTTTTCCTATTTTCATTTGTGGATTGTTCATTGGTAGAGTATAGAAATGCATTTGATTTTATACATTTATTTTGTATCTTGCAACCTTGCTGAACTTGTTTATTCTTATCATTTTTTGGGGTGGATTCCTTAGGATTTTCTCTATACAAGATCATGTCCTCTGTGGGTAGAGATAATTTTAATTTTTCTTTCTAATCCAGATGCTATTCATTTCTTTCTCTTGTTAGCATCTATAGAAAAATGTTAAGTAGAATTGGCAAGAGTGAATATCGTTGGATCAGAACTTCAGTGTTTAGTGGTTTGGAAATAAGTTTTACTGACAGTGCTCCTTTGAGAACTTGAAAATACTGCTTTGTATCCCCTTGTAGTAACAAAAGTAATAAAATTTCTTCTGTTGGAATTTAGCATGCTGTTTATTTTTTGAACATCAAGGCATAATGGATTCTAGCTTAGCTTTTTCCAAAACTTTGATGCCCCTGCTTTATTAGCTTTATAATTTTTTTTCTAAAAATCACTGAAGTAGAGATGTTTAAAAACACATCTCTAATGTATATGTCCTGAGGAACTGCATGTGGTGGGTATAGTTGATTAAGAGTGAGTAATCAGGACATTCATAGTGTCTCTATTAGTGCTACACTTAGTCTTGGTTTGTTAGCACATTTGAAGAAATTTTATAATTTGCAATAGATATGTTCAAAAACCAGAGATAATCATAGTGGGTAGGATGAAGGAGAGGTAGTGATTGTACTACTTTTGATAATTTAATTCTATACCCAACTTCTGGAGAATGTATTTTCTTGTCTCTTATTCCCCACAAGAAAGTGGTGGAAGTAACTCTCCCATGCCTTATTCTTTACTGTAGATTTTGTCAGTACTTTGATATCTGATTCAAAAAATAGAATTTCTTATGTATAGTGAGCATTTCTTAAATATATTCTGTATATGTTATACTTCACCTTTTTGGAGACATGAAATAAATACAAGAGCATGTTTATTCTCTGAATGCTTACAAGATTTTTCGGAAGATCAAGTATATGTATTTAACTTGTACTGCCATGTATATGGGGTTCTATGTTATGTACTGTCTTCCTCACTATATGTAAGCTCCTTGAGGATAACCATCTTTGTATCTGCACAGTGTGTATCATAGTGCCTCACATGTACCATGTGCTTATTATGAATTTTTAAAATTAATAGAACAACAAAAACAATGTAAGATGACAATTAAATATTCAAGTGAATGGCATAACCAATCAGTATTGTTGACTTTCAGAAGTAATCATGATTAGTGTGTGCTGGATTTATTAGGGAAATCTTCATGCAGAGGAAGGTAATTAAGTGATTTCAGGAAGGACGGGTAAGAACTGAGCAAGGAGAAGGAGCATTTCAACCAGGTGTCATGGTTGCAGGTCTGCAAGTGGATCATATCGAGTGGCACAGAAGATTGGTATTGGATTGTAAGTAGAGAGAGGGTTTGATAAGTAGGAACATCGTATTTTGGAGGTCTTAAAAAAGTTTGAAAAGTTTGCCCTCACATAGTTTGATATCATTATGAAGATCCTGTTTGATTTTAAAGAATCATTGAAATTTTTTGAGCTAGGATGGTTAGGGGCAAAGGAGTAATTTAAGAAGATTTGATATGGTAATAACTGAATTCTTTTAGTTCATTGACTGTTGAAGAGCAGAGTTCTTTGATCTTTAGAGGCTAGCATAGTGCCGAGAGCAGGGTTCAAACATTTGAACCTGGATGTATGAGTGTATGGACTAGGTCATCTGGACCTGGATAGAGCTGTTAGCAGTAGGAAATATCCATATGAGAAACATTTTGGAAGAGAAGTTGAAAATATTTATTTTCTAGGATTATAAACGGTATGGGTAAGGTCAAAGATCATGCTGACATTTCATCATGGGTGATTAAAATATAGGAGAGCCATCCCTAGAAATAGGGAAGTCATCGAGGGGAAGAGAGGAGTGAGCAAAGGGATAGTCATGAAAATGTTTTTAGACTTGCTGAGTTTGACACTGATACATAATTCATAGAGATAGAAAGGCTCAAGTGGGAACTGAAGTCTGAGTGTTTAAATTTTGATATCACTATGAATATACTGTTTGAACAATAAAAACAGTGGGACTGATACAACTGTATGTGTGTGTGTGGGTGCAGAGGT